ACAAATAAGCATCATTTAACACTTTGTTAAATTTAAAAAAAATACTTTATAAAGCATCTATAAACATTATTTAGATAGTTAATACTTTGTAAAGCATCTATAAACATTATTTAGATAGTTAATACTTTGTAAAGCATCTGTAAACATTATTTAGATAGTTAATACTTTGTAAAGCATCTATAAACATTATTTAGATAGTTAACACATTGAAATATTGCTGCTGTTTTCCAGTCTTGAATAGAATGTAGAGAGTTTTAGTAGTAAAAACCAGCAGCTCTGATGGGTGAACACCTGGTCCTGATCCAGCGGTCAGTAACATACGGACCTGATATGTTTGCAGGCGGCTGACGGGTCGGCGGGTCAGATCCGGAGAACCACCGCGGTCCCGACGGTTCCCGTCCTGCAGTCGGTGGCGAGCGGTCCCGCCTACCAGCGACGCATCAACACCTGCAAGGCGGAGCTTCAGCAGCTGGTGCAGCAGAAGAGGGAACAGTGCAGCGCCGAGAGGATGGCCAAGCAGATGATGGAGAGCGCAGAGTGGGAGAGTCGACCTCCTCCACCAGGTAACTCACTGACCTCCTGTTAGACCTGTGTCATAGGAGGGGAACCTGACCTCCTGTTAGACCTGTGTCATAGGAGGGGAGCCTGACCTCTGATGTGACTCACTCTGGTAGAGGACTCGAGTCTGAATGATCAACATTAATACTGATTGATGGGTGTTTCAGGGTGGCACCCTAAAGGACTGCTGGTGGCTCACCTCCACGAACACAAAGCTGCTGTGAACCGCATCAGAGTCTCAGACGAACACTCCATCTTCGCCACGGCGTCCAACGACGGCACCGTTAAAGTCTGGGACAGTCAGAAGATGGAGGGAAAGACCACGACCACCAGGTGAGTCTTTAAAACCACTGATTAGACCAGAGACCACGTTACTGAAACACCAGACCAGAAGACCAGAGACCATGTTGCTGAAACACAAGACCAGAGACCATGTTGCTGAAACACAAGACCAGAGACCATGTTGCTGAAACACCAGACCACAAGACCAGAGACCATGTTGCTGAAACACCAGACCACAAGACCAGAGACCATGTTGCTGAAACACCAGACCACAAGACCAGAGACCATGTTGCTGAAACACAAGACCGGAGACCACGTTGCTGAAACACCAGACCACAAGACCGGAGACCACGTTGCTGAAACACCAGACCACAAGACCAGAGACCATGTTGCTGAAACACCAGACCACAAGACCGGAGACCACGTTGCTGAAACACCAGACCAGAGACCACGTCACTGAAACACCAGACCACAAGACCAGAGACCACGTCGCTGAAACACCAGACCACAAGACCAGAGACCACGTCGCCGAAACACCAGACCACGTCGCCGAAACACCAGACCACGTCGCCGAAACACCAGACCACGTCGCCGAAACACCAGACCACAAGACCAGAGACCACGTCGCCGAAACACCAGACCACAAGACCAGAGACCACGTCGCCGAAACACCAGACCACAAGACCAGAGACCACATTAATGAAATACTAGCCCACTAGACCTAGGCACTGTCAGTTATTTGATGCAACATATTGGATCCAGATCGGTTTCTCATATGGGTCTGGGATCGGTCCACATCAGAGCCTGGTTCATGTGTTGATGGATGAATCCAGAAGACTTCTCATGTGCTGTATGCTCACAGCGTTGACGTTTGCTCCTGCAGGTCGGTGTTGACTTACTCTCGTATCGGGGGTCATGTGAAGACCCTGACCTTCTGTCAGGGGTCGCATTACTTGGCGGTGGCTTCAGATAACGGATCCATCCAGCTGCTGGCAGTCGAAGCAAACAAACCGCCCAAATCCCCCAAAGTTCAGCCCTTCCAGACCAGGTACCTGAAACACATCCACAGGTTCTCACCTTCTGTTCCGATGGTCGAGGTGTCTCATCACGGTTCCTTCCTCTCTCAGGTCTCTGGACTTGCAGGAGGACGGCTGTGCGGTGGACATCCACCATTTTAACTCGGGTACCCAGTCGGTGCTGGCGTACGCCACCGTCAACGGCTCGCTGGTCGGCTGGGACCTTCGCTCCAACTCAAACACCTGGACGCTGCGCCACGACCTCCGCCTCGGACTCATCACCTCCTTCACCGTGGACATGCACCAATGCTGGCTCTGCCTAGGTCTGTGTTTGTGTGTGGAACTATTGCTATCTCTGTGAGGACAACTTCAGGTTTAAACCATCGTACAGAGGACCACTCGGTCCGTCTTCAGCACTGCAAAAGACTGTTTAAAAGTCAAGGTTTAGGTTAGCATCAGGCTTCGGTTAGAATAAAGAAAAACTACTGACCGAGGATTAGGGCTGCACGATTATGGCCAAAATCATAATCGCGATTATTTTGATCAATATTGAGATCACGATTATTTATCACGATTATTCATTAATTTTAGGGACATCTTTTTATTGCACTTTCACGTTTAAATGAACAAGAACACTGCTTCCACTTCCATGTTGTGCTACATTCCAGCTAATGTACACGTCTCTGCATCAAAATTAAACTTATACGGTTCTTATTCACCTGAAGCAAAATGTAAATAACATTTTTACCCAAAATAAAGGGCTAACTAAAAATAAATGTGTTGCTCACAGTATTTATTGGACACATGTCTTTGGCCAAATGAAATGCGATTGCATCCGTTATTTCAGCGTGTCTTTGGGAGGTGGATGATACGCTGTCGCGCTATGCAGGGTCGCTGTTATGGGTTTCTGGGTTGACGTTGGACATGGACGGAGATTCAGTGAGGTAACGTTAGCTTTGGCCTTAATGCATTCGTCGTACTGTGGTTTGTGGTGATTTTTCAGGTGGTTGAACAAGTTAGTTGTATTGCTATGCGGCGCAGACACAACTCTGACGCACTCTGTGCATATGATTTGTTCTTAGTTAACATCACTTGGCCTAAATCCAAAAAACTTCCAGACAACAGATGATGATCCTTTGAGGGGCTAGCTCCTCGCCTTCTGCTCCTGACATTTGATTTAGCTTTCACACTACACCCGTGACCGTCTGTCTCTCTACTCTTCTACTAATACCGGAGTCTGCAGGGTGCGCGCATGACACCCCCCATCTCGTTCGCCCCCTGGTGGTCGGCTGACTGTTAGTTGAGGAAGCGCTTGATTTGATGTGTAGCAGAGCACGCATTTTAAACGTCAATATCGCTGACGATCATGCTCATTTAATCGTGGCAGCCGAAATCGTGATCGCGATTAAAATTCGATTAATTGTGCAGCCCTACCGAGGATGCAGGTCATGATGCAACAAATAAAATACAATAGATACTTCATTATAATATAATGAGACGATTCTGGTTAGGCATTGTGGAATAAAGCAGAGATCTTATGTCATACTCTATATATTGAGGTCCAGGAAATGGATTATGTCAGTGAGGGCCTCACGGGTATAGAAAGAGAAACGTTAATCTGATGTTTTTACCAAAGTTACCGGCAGACAAGAGGATACAGTAAAATATGGGCAGTTTTTATGAATTATAGTGAAAATATGTCAAAATTGTATTAAATTAAGCTGAATTATCTTGAATATCATGCTTCATACCGACTTCCTCTTTCCTCGACAGGTACAAGCAGCGGCACCATGGCCTGCTGGGATATGCGGTTTCAGCTCCCCATCTCAAACCACTCCCACCCGGCCAGAGCACGAATCAGACGACTGCTGATGCATCCGCTCTACCAATCATCTGTCATCGCAGGTGAGAGGATCTCTGTTTCATTTAGAATTACGAATGTAACATTTATCATGTAATATTAATAATGTAATACACATCACGTCATGGTAGTAATGTAATACACGTCATGGTAGTAATGTAATACACATCACGTCATGGTAGTAATGTAATACACATCACGTCATGGTAGTAATGTAATACACATCACGTCATGGTAGTAATGTAATTCACGTCATGGTAGTAATGTAATATACATAATTTTTATACGATACTGACTTTTTTTTACGACACACGATACTGACTTTTTTCTGATGTTTTTTGAGATAATATTATTCATGTCATGTAAACAGTTGTCTGTCTGTCTCTTTGTCTGCAGCTGTCCAGGGGAATAATGAAGTGTCGATGTGGGACATGGAAACCGGAGATCGTAAATTTACCCTTTGGGCGAGTTCTGCACCTCCACTCTCTGAGATGCAGGTGTGTGTGTGTGTGTGTGTGTGTGTGTGTGTGTGTGTGTGTGTGTGTGTGTGTGTGTGTGTGTGTGTGTGTGTGTGTGTGTGTGTGTGTGTGTGTGTGTGTGTGTGTGTGTGTGTGTGTGTGTCACACATTCCTGTTTCTTGTCAAACGTAGTCATGTTGGATTCATTGAATCACTTCCTGATATGGAGCAGAATCACAACACATGATACTCCATTACAGTTGTGCGTGTGCTCTCTCTGCAGCCGTCTCCTCACAGTGTTCATGGGATCTACTGTAGTCCTGCTGATGGGAACCCTCTGCTGCTGACTGCTGGATCTGACATGAGGATCAGGTCTGAACCACAACACCTGAAACATAATCATTATCTTTTAAAGCACCTCATTTTCTTTGATGTCAGATTATGTTTATTGTGCTATTTACTTTATAAACGTCACAACAGATCAAATGATTTTAGAATATTGAACACTTACAATAAAACGGTTCATAACTTTAATGAATTAAGAGTCAGACCTTCAGCCCTCAGGTTAGGTTGGGTCCAGGTTCATTCAGGTGCCTGATGGTCCTTGTGTGTTTAGGTTCTGGGACTTGGCGTACCCTGAGCGGTCCTACATCGTGGCTGGAGGAGCCACCGACTCTCTGCACTGTCCGTCCGTCCTCTACAGCAGGAAGATCATCGAAGGGACTGAAGTGGTCCAGGTGAGTCTTTAGTTGGTATTGAAGTGGTCCAGAAGAGTCTTTAGTTGGTATTGAAGTGGTCCAGAAGAGTCTTTAGTT